TTCCTCCCATAAGGCTTATCCCCCATCTCTGCTTGTCTGGAAGACTCTTTCGTGTGCAGTCTCAGTGTAAACGTCATTTCCTCACTGAAGGCTTCCCCAGCCACCAATCTCCTATTATTGTCTCTCCTAACACCCCTCATAGCATTTTCTTTTGCAACTTATAATTGCATATTTGTACTTGTCTGATGCCCAGCTCCTCCATTAGAATGTAAATTCCATAGGGGCAGTGTCTGGTTTTGCATCCCAATTCAACATCAAGCATGTGTTTACGGTAATGACTGACACAGAGTGATGCCTAAGAAATATTTTTTAAACAAATGCACGTATAGAAAAAGAAAGAAGGACAGAAAGAAAGCTAGTTTTCCATAAAGCTGTTTCCTGTAGCCTCTGTATAGAGATGAACAGGGACAGGTGTTTTAAGCCAACTTATAATTCATGAAAATCTAAATTTACATAAAGGGTATGTTGAAAGGTGATTTTTCCACTTTACAAAAAGATCCATCATAAGAGTCTTTAAACAGGCTTCCCAGGTACATGGAAAGTAAGATTTTATTGATTCAAACCATATGTTTGCACTGAATTCTGCAGGAAAATATCTTTTATATAAAGCAAGGTTGACCTATAAGCAATTTCCTCAAGGCACCTCGCCCGGAATGGCCAACTCTCAAATTTCCTAGGTAATAGATAATGGGAGGCCTGGAATGCAGGGGATATTTGAAACCCTAGAATGCAAAGCAGTGATTTCAGCCATTTAGAGTTCTTGTGACTTTTCTCACAAAAATAACTAATGGAGAGATGACTCAGTGTCTTTGAACCTCCCCAACTCCTCTTTCTCTATGTCTGTGAAAGTAAGAAAGGCTGGGAAGTGACCCCCAAACAGGCTGACATGGGAAGGAGAACAAGGCATACACAGTTCACCAAATTGATGTTTTTCTCCCAGCTCCCCCCACCCTCCCATCACGGCAGCTACTACCACTGATAATTAAGTTGTCTGATTGCAAGATTGGAAAAAAGAATTCAGTGTGTTAATAAATAAGAGCAATTAACTTCTCTGGGTCTCAATTTCCTCGTCTTAACAATGTGGGAGTCCTTTTGAAGATTATTGTTTTATAATTCTGTTCTTGAACCTACCCAGACTTTACAAAATAAGGTAATTTGTGACTGTTCTCTCTGTCTAATGAAATAAATTTCATAGCTATTTCTGCCCTCCTTCTTGGAAAGTTTAATAAATGATCATGAAGTTTAAATCAAAACATTTATATTATTTGTGGAATTGGTTGATTTGACTATTATTGATGGTTCTTGCTAAGAAGAAAATGCTTTGCAGAATTTACTTACAACTAACCTTTATCAGACATATTCCACTGTGATGAAAGCACAAGAAGCTGTTTTTGAACCGCAGTACGAGGGAAATATTTTAGCAACAGGAAGGAAAAACAATTCATTGGTTGTGGTAATAAAGATCAGGGTAGACGCAGGTATAGGTTAGTTTAGCCCTTCAAAAACAAGACTTCCTTCATCTCAGAAAATCCAAACCTTCAAATTTAGAAGAAATATTTGGGACATAGAAGAAAAACATGTTTAATATCTATGGAATTCTTGGCAACCTTTTTGCCCTCTTCAACTTCCTGAAGCATTATTCTATCCTCACTCCCCACAATTTTGATTTTTTTGGGCCCAATTTTACTATATTTAGTGACATTTTGAGGGAAAATTATTTCTTTAACTGATGCATGTAAAGAAACTTAGACTCTTCTACATGCGTCTGAAAAGCTAAAGAATGTACACAGGAAAACACACATTATTTATATATCTGCTGCTTTGTAGGTTAAAGAGAGATCTTAACTATGTCAACAAATCTGAATTATATTTGGAAGTTGGTGATCTTATATTTGGTCAGTATTTTTTCTCTTCCCTAGTCTATAAATGGCACTAGGTCATTTCTTCAGTGGGAGAGAGGACTAGATTAGGAAAGAGAAGGGGGACCAGGAAAAAAAAAGGCTGGGGATGATGGAGTGAAAACTCATAGTTGATTCACTAAAATCCCTAAATTAAACTGGATACGGCAAAAAAATTGCAGTAGAAGCAAAGGCAGATGGTGAGTTGGCAATGGGGAGGAAAGAGAAAGTTCATGAGCAAGGATTTGCTCATTGAAATTGTAAATTGAAAAATTTACAGCAGAGTCAAGACTGGGAGAGGCTTCTGAGGAAAGCAGGGTACTTTGAACTCTGGTAACAACAGAAATATGGGTATTAGCAATAAGGTCTTCCATGTGTGATACCCAGTGCTGCCATGTGACCAACAACCTCTGCTTTGGATTGAAACACAATCCTAAAAGGACAAATATTTACTCATTTTTACAAAATCTGAAGAAGACAGGGGTTTCAAACTTACGAGTCAGGTCTTCAGGTGAGGAGATTCTGACTCGCTGCGTATGTTGGGAGGTGGGGACAGGGACAGGGATGAGGGGTGGGCAGTCAGTCTGATCATGTGTAGGGTCCTCAGGTTGGATGGATGGTTGGATACATAGATGGATACATAGGTAGTTACAGAGGTAGAGTAAGCAAGCTAAAGACATACACACATAAACACAGAAGTAAAATTTGCAGCTATTTAATAAGAAACAAGGGATAAATGGGATTTCCGTAGTTTGACAAGAATCTTTAACTTAATTGAAGAATATGCATAATTGAGTGACTTTTTCCTAACGGTTATTAGCAGAGCATCAAGTTACTTTCCTTCTTCATGTGTGTTGATACCAAGACCATAGGGGATTGCTTCTGAAGAAAATACCTGTTGGAGAAAATGCCTGTTTTTTAAGAATGTGTCCTAGTAATAACCACAGCTTTTTTATTATTATTTCAAATGTGCAGTTTTATTTTCCTAACAGTGCTAAGGAAACACAGTGCTCTTTTAAAGTATTGTAATTGCAGGAAATCCTAGTGCATTGTTGGTCCGAATGCAAACTGGTGCAGCCAATATGGAAAACAGCATGGAGGCTCCTCAAAAAATTAAAAATGGATTCAGATGACCAACAGACATATAAAAAGATGCTCAACATCACTGATCATCAGGAAAACACAAATCAAAACCACAATGAGGTATCACCTCACACCAGTTGAATGGCTAAAATCAACAGCGCAAAAAACAACAGGTGTTGGCAAGGACATGGAGAGAAAGGAACCGTGTGCACTGTGGAGAATGCAAGCTGGTGCAGCCACTGTGGGAAACAGCATGAAGGTTCCTCAGAAAGTTAAAAATAGAGCCACCCTAGGATCCAGCAATTGCACTACTGGGTATTTACCCAAAAAGCACAAAAATACTAATTCAAAGGGATTGATGTTTATAGCAGCATTATCTACAATAGCCAAATTATGGAAACAGCCCAAGTGTCTCTTGACTGATGCGTGGGTAAAGATGTGATAGATATAGATATACACACAATGGAATATTCCTCAGCCATAAAAAAAAGAATGCAATCTTGCCATTTGCAATGACGTGGTTGGAGCTAGAGAATATTATGCTAAGCAAAGTAAGTCAGAGAAAGACAAATACCATGTGATTTCACTCATATGTGGAATTTAAGAAACAAAGCAAACAAAGAGGAAGGCAAGCTAAGAAACAGACTCTTAACTATAGAGAACAAACTGATGGTTATCTATTAAGAAGATGCATTGTGTGTGTGTGTGTGTGTGTGTGTACACACATATACATGTATATATGCATATACATATACGCTGTGGAATCTGAAAAAGACAAACTCGGAGAAACAGTAGAGTGGTGGTTATCAGGGGTTGGGCAGACGGGAAATTGAGGGGCTTTTGGTCAAAGGGTAAAGACTTCCAGTTATAAGATCAACAAGTTTGGGATCTAATGTACAGCATGGTGATGATAGCTAATAAAAATGTATCCTATATTTGAATGTTACTAAGAGTAAATCTTAAATGCTCTCACCACAAAAAAGAAGTAGTGACTACTGATGGGATGAACTTGGTAGCTAATACTATGGTGGGAATCATTTTGCAACTTAGAAATGTATCAAATCAATAGTTGTACACATTACATTTACACAAGGTTACTTGTCCATCATATCTCGATAAAGCTGCAGGAAAAAAATAATGTATCATAATTGCCACTGTGCCCAATTAGCTACAAATATGCCAGGCACCGAGGGAACTGAGAACGCACAAGCCCGAGGCTGACTTAGGAAGATGGGGCTACCTGCAAGAGTGAAGGTGGTGTGAAGGAGAGAGGGCACTATAGGAGACAACCCAAGTTCTAATCCCAGCCCTTCCCTGAACTTGTTGGGTTATCAAGGCCCAAAGTCTCATGTGCAAAATGAGAATAGTGTATGTTTGGCGAGGTCCCTTAAAGCACTATCATTATCAAGTCCCGGGAGTTTAACTTCAAAGGTCAATGTCACTTGCAGCTCTGGAGGCCTGTTTAGAGGAGTTTGGTCAGTTTTTAGTTATATATTAATGGTAACCTTTCAGTTCTTTCATTTCTAGTGAACTAATGGTTTGAGAGTTTTACTCTTTAAGCGCATGACTTTGCATGTTGCACAATCGATCTCAGTGGAAAGATGGAAGGAAAGAAGGAAGAGAGGAAAACGAGAGGAATTTAGTGACTATTAGTTTTGCCCTTTCAGTCTCTTATTTTACTTCATTTTATGCAAAATGATCTTGTACTCCTTAGAATAAAGACTTATGGTTTGATGAGTTCAGCTCATAAATAACATGGTTATTGTTTTTTGTGTGGTTTTTTTTAAGATTTTATGTATTTATTTGACAGAGAGAAATAACAAGAGCAGGAACACAAGCAGGGGGAGTGGGAGAGGGAGAAGCAGGCTCCCCACCAAGCAGGGGCCCGATGCGCGGCTCGATCCCAGGACCCGAGGACCATGACCTGAGCCAAAGGCAGACGCTTAACGACTGAGCCACCCAGGCACCCCAAGAACATGGTTATTGTTAACAGCCATCTCCTCCTTCATGTTTTTCTAGATTTGGAAAGAAGAAAGATGACAGAGGTGGCAAGGCTGAGCAGAAGGGCCCTCTGAAGCATGGCGGCCTAAGGGAAGAAGAGCTGGAAAAAATGAAAGAAGAACGTGAAAGGTGAGCAAAAATGCTGAGCTCCTTATTTTGTTAGGGTCCATGGCCCATGTTAAATTGGGTTGTTGCATCCATGAACCTGGAGAAATTTTATTTTAAGAAGCATAGCATTTCATACAGAAGAAAAGGTACCTGATATAAAAAGGAACCTGCCTTTCTGGGGAATTTTTATTATATTTGGAGAAGAAATTAACTTTATGTTTTTATTAGATCAGTACTTATAATTCCAATATATGCTATCCCAGTTTCGACTATATCCGTGTATATTTTCCCTATGGTTTAAACAATGAGTTTTTTTTTTTTTAATAAAAAGGTCATTTTAATGTTGATGTTTAGAACTATCAGATTTCCATAGTCTGTTCCTAATTTCTGTCAAGCTGTTGTATGCCTTCTTAATTTTATTCTGCTAAATCCATTTGGGGGGTGTAATTTGAGAAGGCCATGTCCTTCATTTTTAAAAAGCCCGTGTCTTTTATTAGGCTATCAGCAAGTTGCAAAGTATGTCGCCCATCTGTTAAAGGGCCGGTTTCATTTACTGAAATAATGACAGTTTGCAAGGGCTGAATTCTCCTGTTTGAGGAGCTTCATGTTCCATTTGGACAAGAGGCCCTTCACTTATCTTTGAGGTTAACTCTGGCACTTACCCCAAGTCGATGTGTAAATGTCTGATTTTGAAACATGTAATTGAATATTCATATTTCTCCTGAAAGTGCTTCACCTTCGCAACTAAATGGAGCTTGGAGAAAGACTGGGATTATGACAAAACTAGCGTATCATTTTAAGTACTTGATTCTGACTTCACCAGGCATGAAGTCACATTTGTCCAACTTGTCACTTGCTTAATAGTAACTATAGTCCTTATAGTTTTTAGAGTCTGTTCTTGTACTTATTTTAATACTCTAGTAATGTGTACCAAGAAAATCATACCCATTCATCCTGTTTTCTAGCACAGAGCAGGCTGAATATCTACTGTTAACCTTTGACTCCTGTCTTGTAGTCTATTCCCATGGAGAAGGCTGACTTTATCAATAGCAACGAAAGAAACCCCATTTAGTCCTTTCTCATTTTAAAGAGGTTGATAAGCTCTAGGTTCCAGGGTCAGTGGAGCAGTTAGAAGGAAATCAAGTGCTTAATATTGTTGTTGACTATTCACCTGACAGAGCTGCCCCCAAAACAGGGAAGATGATTCTCCATCATAGCCCAAGATTCAGTAATCCTGTAATGTAAAATGTAATTCAGGCGAAAGATTTTAATGCGTATATTGGCAAAGACATCCGTGTGGTGAGCCCACGTCATAGATCTTTGCTGCTCCCCTGACTTCACTTACTGAGGCAGCACAGCCTTGCCTCGTCTTCCGGAAACTGGTCTGTTTCCTGGAATGCAGACTTCACGTTTTTTGTAGCTCAATACTTGCTTGGGGTTGGGAGGCTTTCCTCTTAGTAGCTAGGGAACTGTGTGCCAGCTAGAAAATTGATAACTCATAAAATAAGGTGGGTTGTCTTTAAGCAAGAGTTCATTTCCTTTCTGGTGTTGCCTTAAGGAAGCAGGTGCCTGAGGGAGTTTTGTTCTTAAAAGCAGGGCTGTAAATTCACCTCCACTGGCTATATAGGCTTCAGGTCCAATTTTCTTAAAATATGTCTGGTCAAAATATTGAAAGAACTGTACTATTAGCCTCTACTTAGGCCACTTCCCACACATGAACACGTAAAACACATCTGAGACAGGTTTCCTAGAGACAATGTTGTCTCAATCCTGTGAGAGAGGAAGAAGCTGGAGGAGTTGATTTTATGGTTGGGTGCTCTAGAATTAATGACCAAGAGCATTTCAGCAGCTCAGGAGCAGAGGGCCACGGAGGGTAGAGGTGGAGACTCAGCATTTGGCATTCCTCCCAAACCTAGAGTTCCATTTCTTGGCTCTCCACCATCCATAGGAAACCAGCTCACAACCCTTAAAGAACTCAGTGAGTGTATCACTTTGTGACATGGCCATGGGAAAAAAATAGAATAAAATAAGAAACAGTGTATAAAAGTTCACCAAGTGGTCTTTTTTTCTAATGCCTTTAGAATTTGTTACCTTAAGGTGATTCAAGCTCTCCTATTGCTTATTTGTTTCATCCTAGCTGTCACAGATATAATAGCGATTCATTCACTTATCCCTTCTTCAAAGAATTTAAAGTACTTAAATAAAATATATTGTATAGTGCCGGAGCCAGCTTGTATCAGCTTGTGAGAAGAATTTTGGGAGCCGGTTGTTAAACCACTGGTGGCTTGACATTGGTCATGGTGGGAGTATTTACACCATAGAAATGGGCAAATGCAGTAAGTTGAGTTTGTTTTTTCAAAAAGCCGGTTGATCAACATACCACTGAGGGTTTATAACAACTCTATTTGGTGTATAACCAGGAAGAAATTATCCAAAATAAAGGCTAAATAAGGATTCATCCAAGTCAAACCATATGACTTCCTCTGTGTTTCTCAAAGTGTAGTCCATAGACCACCTGTATCAAAACGAGTCACATGGAGAGCTTGTTGAAAGTAAGCTCGAGTCCCACACCAGACTTGCAGAATCAGAATCTTGGGATTTGGAGCCCAGGAATCTGTATTTAATAGGCAAGCCCAACATAATTCCTCAGTATTTTAAACTGAGAACCCTTGACCTGAGGGACAGGATTTGGTTGGAATATTGAACAGTCCTTATCCTATGAAAAATGACACACAGATTTTTTTTTCCCCAAGAGGATTGAATAAGCCGGTCTAAAAATATTGTCATCTTTCTCATGTGCCCTCTCTGAAGTAGCCTACCTTACTGGCATATTTTTTTGCCAACAAGAAAGAAACCCTTGCCAGTGCTTACCCACCTAAGAGTATTTGGATTGCTTACCCCCAGTACAACCCATGCACACAAAACTTACAAATACAGTGAGTTCATTAAGAAGATTTTGGAGACATAAAAAAGCATAAAGAAGACTAACCTGATCATGCATAATTCCATAACAATTATTAATATTTTTATGATCTTTTTACTATGTGTATATTTTCTTTGAAACTTGATATCCATCCTGCATATATAATGTCTCACTTTTTCAGCAGCACTATGGTGTGAGCATTTCCCCATGTCATTGATGTTTTGAAAATATGCCATTTTGATGACTGTCTAATATTCTGCAAGATCAGTATACTATGGTATACTTATCTTCTGTTGTCAAACATTTAGTCTGTTTCCATTTTTCACTCTTTCAAATAATACTTTGATGAGCATCCAGATATAAAAGTCCTGATAGATGACCTCTTAAATCATATAGTTCCTGTTAGAAGGTTCAATTTCCTTGTAACTGTTTTACCCGAGGATTAATTTAACCTCAACTCCAAATTTTAGGATTATCCCTCTTCATTGCTCGCTTTATTTTTCTTATGATTTCCATATCTCATTTTAATGTATCTACATATTTAACTCCTGATGAGGAATTGTTGTGGTGCTATATATGAATAACGTGTTCATAGCTATAGCTATGAAAAGGTCAAAAAAAAAAGCCATAAGAATTATGGAATTATGGGGCACTGAGGTGGCTCAGTCGTTAAGTGTCTGCCTTCAGCCCAGGTCATGATCCCAGGGTCCTGGGATCGAGCCCCGCATCAGGCTCCCTGCTCGGCAGGAAGCCTGCTTCTCCCTCTCCCACTCCCCCTGCTTGTGTTCCCTCTCTCGCTGTGTCTCTCTCTGTCAATTACATAAATAAAATCTTAAAAAGAATTATGGAATTATAAGATTAAACTGGAGGAATGCAGAGCCCTCCAGTGGTTCTCAGGGAGGGACAATTTTGCTACCAAAGAAACATTTGGCTGTATCTGGAGACATTTTTTATTGTCACAACTTCGAAGGAGGAACAAGCACAGGAAGGGAATTGCCAGGTGCTCGGTAGAGGCCAGGAATGCAGCCAGACCATTTACAACGCATGAGATACTCCTGTCCCCTAACAGTGAGTCATCTCACTCAAACTGTCAACAGTGTGGAGGCTGAAAACCCCTGTTTTAGCCTCTGGACTTCACAAGTAAGTGTACTCTCCTGGACATTAGAAGCTCCTTGTCTCATGATACCCTGTGGATAACGCAGAAAAATGTACACCAGATGACATAACCATAGAAGGATTATTAGCTATTCAAGAAACTGTACCCAAAGCTTGCCAATGAATAGTCCATCAATATAAACTTGTGAGAAAGAGTTTTTCTTCAAAATTTATTTTTAACTCTGGCCTACTGAGCATTGGCATCAGTGCTGTTGATCAGATTGTGAATGCCAAAAATCTGCAGCGGTTGATAATGTGTTGATGACAGAATCATCTGGAACAATGGATTGAATCAAACATAAAGAAACTTAATAGGAATATATGTAAAGTCTTGATTTTAGGTCCAAAACCGAACTGTACAAACACAGGATGTGGAAGGTTTGACTTAATACCAAATATATGAAAAAACTGCCTGATGGTTTTAGTTGAGGGTAAAGTTTAGCATGAGTCAACATGGGGATGTGCCTGCCAAAAACTTAATCCAGTCCTAGGCTACATTACTGGAAGTTCATGTGCAAAATGAAGGAAGAAACAATAATTCCTGCTTTATACTACTCTGACCACACTCCGAATATCCCATTGCCTTTCTCACACACACAGAATAGCACCAACTAAATCCTGTCTTTTGAAAAATGTTGAAGGACCTGGGCATACATAGTCTTAGAGGTAAGACTTAGTTGATGTCACATGATCAAAGAACTTTCACATGAAAGAGGAATTAAATGCATTTTATAGCATCTATTCTTTCTCTCTCTTTGCTTGTTCATCCATTCATTTATTTTCTTGAAGATACTAATGGGGAGTCATTTTAAGAGAGGTAGTCTTCAGCTAAATAGAAGGGAAAACATCCTAACAATTAGAATGTCACATGAGAGTGAGTTTGTGGACACTGAAAAATGTCTAATAAGAAGCTGATGATCACAATGAGAAAGGATTAGTGCAT